CTACCAAACCTACCATTTTTCTTTCCATTGCTCGCTGCATCGTCCTCAATTCAAGATGAAGCCTCTTTGTAAGTCTCCATGTTTCTGCTCTGTAGCTAAGTACCGGCAGGATACGGCTGTTATATACCTTCCTCTTGAGGAATAGTGGCATTCTACCTGTCATAATTTGAGAGTGCTTGCCAAATGTGCTCCACCCCATTCTTATTCTTCTAGTTACTTCAATCTCGTGGTTAGGCTCCGTGGTTAATAACTGTCCTAAGTAGACATAGTAATTTACAAATTCAAGTGCACTATTGCCTATCTCAAAGCGCTGCTCTTCCGAGGTTGTACGTTACTTTAGTTTTCTGAACATTATATTTAATACCTACTTTGCTGCTCTCCTTGTCTAACTCTGTCATCATGAGTTGCAATTCGTCCCCTGAGTTACTCAGCAATGCAATGGCATAGGCGAAGCGCAGGTTACTAAGGTACTCTCCATGAGCTCTTATGCCTAAGTGTTCCCATTCTAGACCTCTGATAATCTCCTGTAAGCACGCGGTAAATAGCATTGGGGAGATTGCATCTCCCTGCCTTACACCTTTCTTGATTGGTATTCTGTTGCTTTCTTTATGAATCACTATCGTAGCAGTTGGTCCCCTGTAGATTTCTTCCGCGATGTTTATATACGCTTAATCGACGCCCTGATTCCGCAATGTCTACATGACTGCTGATATTTCTATTGAATCAAACGCCTTCTCGCAATCTTTGAAGGCTACGTATAGTGGTTGGCTATATTCTGAGGATTTCTCTATTACCTGATTGATAGTATTAATGTGGTAGATTGTTGAGTAGCCTGTTCGAAATCCTGCTTGTTCTTTTGATTGATTGAATTCTAATGTTGTCTTAATTCTGTTAGCAATTACCTTTGTAAATTGCTTGTATACTACGGAGAGCAAGCTGATCGGCCTGTAATTTTTGAAGTCCTTGTCATCTCCTTTCTTATGTATTAGGATGATGTTAGAATTATTCTAAGGTTCTGGTACTCTTCCCGTCAGGAGACACTTCGTAAACAGGCTCGCTAGTTTTTCTAACAAAGCTGTCCTCAATGTTCCAGCAGATATGACGTTACCTTATCCTCACCAGCAGTTTTGCCTCTTTGCATGCTTTCCAAGGTTTTTCTGACTTCTATCATTACTGATGGGGTGCCATCTGGGTTACTGCTAGATTTTATATTAAGATCGTGGTTGCGCTGGCTACTGTACAGGTCTCTGTAAACTTCTCTGCTAATTTTCCTATCCTATCTCTATTGGTAGTTACTTTGCCTTCCTCGTCCCTTAGTGCATACATATGAGTTTTGCCTATCCCAAGTTTTTTCTTCACTGCTTTGACGCTTCCTCCGTTCTTCAGAGCGTGTTCCATTTTCACCATGTTATAGCTTTCTTACATCGGATACCTTACGCCTATTGATCAACTTCGAAAGCTCTACCAACTGTATTTTGTCTGTTGTACTTGAGGCTTTCATACTTTGACGCTTCCTAATGAAATTCTTCGTTTCCTGGGACAGCTAGCCAGTGTCCTGTCTAACTACAGTACCTCCAAGTTCTACTGCACACTCCGTAATGATACTCGTCAGATTATCATTCATTGCGTCAACGCTAAGGCTGGTTTTCTCGATAAGACCCGAGTACCTGTTCTGAAGTGAAACTCTGAAATACTGTACTTTCCCTCTCAGTGCTAGCTCATCAATTGGCTTCTTGCGTATAAGTTCTGTCGTTCCTTCTTCAAGTCTAGGTGAATTCGGGACCGTACCATTCTATGGTCACAGCATCGTACCTTACCAAGTACTTCAACATCGTGCACGATGTCTGGGTGTGCACTCATTATAAAATATATTTCGTTCTTATTTTCGCCATTAGGGCTCCTCCATGTCCACTTATAGTTCCCTCGCTTTCAATAGAAGGTATTCAAAATCCGTAAATTATTGCGTTTTGCGAATTCTACTAGTAGCGCCCCTCTGAGATTTCTAGTGCTGATGCCATAATCTCCTACTGCCAGGTCTCCAGCCTGCTTCTTCCCTACTTTTGCATTGAAGTCTCCCATCAGTATAGTATACTGTGTTTTTACCTTACTCATTGCCGATTCCACGTCTTCATAGAAGCTTTCAACTGACGTCATCATGGCTAGATGTGGGCGCATAAGCATGTACCACCTTCATCGTGTATCTCTTATTGAGTTTAATTACGATACCTACGACCCTTTCATTAATGCTACAGTATTCCGCTATGTTGGTAGCTATGTTTCTGTGGATGAGGTAATTGACGTATGCATGTGGGAGGTAGTGGCCACATATTGCACCAGGGTGGCCAAGACTTCTCTGGTGAGGGAGTGCGTTACCGGTGGTGGTCACCGGTGAGGCCGCACCCCAGCCCTCTTAATGCAGTTCCATTACCACGCGGACTTTTTTATAATCCGGTTGGGAACTGCGTGGCACCGGGATTCAAACCACGGACCTCTTGCATGCGAGGGTGATGTTCTAACCACTACGCCATCGCTGCCCATGTACAAAACCACCTCGGATTAAATGTTTGCAAAACGAAAGCATTGTTGTTTCATCCGCTTCATAAAGTCTCCAACGGATCGATTTCTTATTAACGCTGTATGGGCTGAATACCGTCAGTCACTCAAAACACTAGGTTTTTTTAAACCACGTCGTGGGATGCAAACGTTGATTTCTTGGTTGGTACGCTTTCACGCACTATTGGAAATCTGCAGCGAAACTGCACAGCGCTTGCTTTCTTTTATTGAACAATAAACGGATGATTAAATTTATTTGAAAGCCTAAAGTTAAGTGACAATTTAAGTAAAAATTCTTCAACAAGTGTTGTTAAGTAATATAACGAATATACAAACAAATAAACGATTGTCTTTTTTAAGGCTGCAGCCTTGAAAAAGACAATCTTTTATTTCTTAGTACATTCGTTTAATTTCCTAACAACACTTGCTGAAGAATTTTTACGTATATTGTCACTTAACGTTAAGGCTGCAGCCTTGAAAAAGACAAGTCTGTTTGTCCAAACGTCGGTTCCAACACACTCTCTGCTTTCGAATTTCTCATGGCAAGCTTCCATGATTCCCTTCTTGCCTTTTTTCTACGGTATGAACTTGTGCTAGTTATTTAATGAAAGCCACATAAATTAACAGCAGCTGCAGTCACATCAAAGCTAGATTCCAGTAGCAAACAAGTGTCACTAAAGCTACCGTGACGATATGGTCTTTCGCTTCGTAGGCGCTTTGAGAGCGTCACAAGGCATGTTTTTTTTTTGTTTTCTTATTCTTCTCGTTGCTCGTACTTCGAGCGGTAGAATAACGAATATGACACTCAGAACTATTCGAGATTGCATACTAACAGGCATAAAGACGAGAAAAAAAAAGATTGGAGGCGTAGATATTTCTTATCGGGAGTTGTGTTTGCGTCCCACTCCAAAAGAAGCCGGTGGAGCGTTGCCCACTGAAGTGGGACGACCCGCATGAGCTCGCACGCATGTGTAAGCGTTCTATATATCTTAACATTTTTTGTTATTGCGACAAAGCTTACAAACTTGCAAGGTTAATGATCGTTTTAAATGCGAAGTCTTTCTTAGCGAGCTTCGGTGACTTTGACCGTATCTATCTATCTATCTATCTATCTATCTATCTATCTATCTATCTATCTATCTATCTATCTATCTATCTATCTATCTATCTATCTATCTATCTATCTATCTATCTATCTATCTATCTATCTATCTATCTATAACTTTTAGCTCTCATGGCCGTTTCAATAATTGGATGTGTACCAAATTGCCTTGGCATACCATGACTGTATGACTAGCATAAGCGACTTGTCGTAACATGAAAATCATGCCGTGTATGTCATGAATGTCATGATTTACATGTCATGGTCTTAGTGCTCTCGCGGTGGTATCGTTCACATGATATATAGAAAAACTGGTACGCTATTGCACGACTGCATGGTGAACATCAAGTGACAGGCCCTAACGTGGAAATCATAACATGCATGTCATGTAATAACTACATGCCATACCCTCATGGCGCGCTCGCGGCCGTTTGGTAGCTTCACATATACAAAATTTGGTGCTAGGTGACGTCAATGGATGACAAAGGTGCAAACATGATAATTATAACGTGTGTGTCACGTAAGAACATGACTACATACCATGTTCATGATGCGCTCGCGGCCGTTTTACTAGCTTCGCATATACCAAATTTGCTGTTACGTCACATGAACTGATGACGAAAGTATGACTGGTACAAACATGATAATCATGACATGCGTGTCTTGTAAGATCACGATTACATACCACGCTCATGATGCGCTCGCGGCCGTTTCGCAAGCTTCACATATACCAAATTTAGTATTACGTAACGTAAATGGACGACCAAGGTACATGACACGTCCAAGCATAATAATCATGATATGCGTGTCATGTAAAACATGACTACGCGTTACACTCGTAGCGCACTCGCGGCCGTTTCGCTAGCTTCGAATATACCAAGTTTGGCATTACGTTACGTGAATAGACGACGGAGGTAATTGACATGTCCAAACATGATAATCATGACATGCGTGTCATATAAATCATGACTACACGCTACGCTCTCGGCACACTTGTAGTCGTTTCGCTAGTTTCACATATACCAAATTTGGTATGAGGTGACGTGAATAGACTAGGAACAGAAATGCCAGGCGCAAACATAATAATCAAGAAATGTAAGTCATGTACGGCGTAATTGACGTCCACCTCGTAACGTTGTGCTGATTTTAAAGTGGCATATCAACCATCCTCATTCGTGCTTTGCATATAACCGATTACTACTGTAGGTGGGATCTGCCATTTTCTTTTGTCTTTCACACCATGGCCGTAACTTGTTAGAATCAGGGTGTATTTATTTACATGACCTGTCTCATCGGTTACGCTGAGACAGGTTGTATGCAGCAGCAACGACGAGCGCGGACAAAGTGTAAAAATATGTAAATTTGTTTATTTACAAATAAATAATGGTTGATGTGACTAGGAGCGCGTCCGCTTCCGTCTCAGGTGCGAATGGTCCATGTGGATAATAAATAGCGTGCAGCGATGATGGACGAAGCACATGGTAATAAATAACGAGTATGTTGAGCGGTGGGCCCTCGTTGCGCGGAGGGTGCGAAGAAGAAGCCATCACAAGTCCTTGCCGGGGGTAGGGAAGCTGGCGAGTCCAGTCCAGTGCCCGGCGTGCAGTCGTGGTTCCGCCATTGTTTGTCTAGGCGTAGCGCTGCGTCATCGGATGGGGTCGTACTTGGACCGGCATTCGCACTCGGTGTGGTTCTCGAACGTTAGCGTCTCAAACTTGCGCTGTTCCCCTGTAGCGTCAATCTGAACAACCGCAAAAGTGCGCTCCACCATCTGTATACTCTTTGGCTGGCAGTGCTTGTCTTCGCTGTTGCAGCAGGCCATGTCCGGTTGGCACCGGTGCACCACGGTGCAGTGTGGCTCGTACCGCTGCGGGAGAAAAATGAAAGGAAGTCGGGGTTAGTCACTCGTTTCCTATATATATATTTACCACGACTGTGTTCAATGCGACGTCCATCACTAATATGTATCAAAGTGGTACTTCTAAAGGTCACAGGCACGGATTAGCAGGGCTTTTGCTTCGGGATTCTAAACTGACCAGTATATATTTTCTATAAAACCAAAGCAAATTTACTATTCCAGTAGCGAAATCAAACAAGGGTTAGCGATTGTCCAGCCTTAAGAAAGCGGAGACGGCGCCCAAAGGTGCACACATCGGCGAGTATCGGTAATATGTGCGCTTTGATATAGGTAAGTCATACAAAAACTGCCTTTAGAAACAGTTGAGCCTATGCATGTTAACCCTGACTCAGACTCAGCGTTTCGAAATAAAAGGCGTCCTCTGAAACCATGCTTTAGTTTGATGGAAACGCAACAGCTAAAGTGAATTTGATCCAGTAGACACGTGACGTGAGGAATACATGCTGAGCTGCATGCACCTAACTAGATCTTAAGCAAAACGCGCTGCTGAATTTTCGACGTGTGGACTCGTTAGCAAAACATTCAGCTGCTTTTTTTTTTTGAGTGATTATCATTCACATTTAGTGGCGTTTGTCTTGCCGAGTATTTATTATTAATAATAATATACAGAATGCGAAATTATATGTTTACTGAGCAGTATCGTATGTAAGGAAAGCGAAGAGCAAGGTCACTGTATGGTATGCAAGTGACGCTGTGGCAGAGAACATAATCTGTTTCTTGAATTTTACGAGCTAATAATTTCCTCTCGCGTCCACGAAGAGTTGATAAAAAAAAAAAAAACTCGCAGCTTCATACGGCGCTTTAGTCTATCGTTGTGGTGGCCTTGACTACTCTAGACGATATGTTCCAGCTCTGCAGAGGCCACGTGCCAGGAATATCGCGGTCGGTAATACTATACAGCAATTAGGCCTGTCTTGCGAGCTCACTTGCGACTCGCGAGTCAAGATCCTTCTTTTCCCACCGACGGGCGCACGTGTCGACCACGGGTAATTATTTGAAGGGCCTTGTAATGCCACAGTGCGTTTATCAAGCTTCCTGATTTAGAAACCGCTCTGTTCTCCCACAGGAAGTGTCAAAACAGCATGCCGTCATGTGCGTGCGGCGCTATTTCATCGTGGGCCTAGCATTGGTTTTTAAGATTTTTGGGCCTGTGCGTAGTATCTGATTCAACGTGTGCAGATGCACATGCACCGACGAAACGCAGCAGCTCAGTCGCGTGGCGGCACCGATTTATCTATTCCGCGTCAATGATTTCCGGCCCGGTGTAAAGTTCCAAGCTATCTTTCTTACACACTATCCTGTTTTTGTCATTAAGTGTGACACGAACCTATTTAAATGGCTACAGAAAAAAATGTCAACAAGTGGCTTTGCGCAACCTGTTTTTAACTCGCGATGCATGAAAGACATATCACGTTCGCACTCCCATTTTACGCACCAACAAAAAAGAGGAGTGAAGACGAGGAATGGTGGAGAGGGTAGGACAGGTTTTAGTTAGAACTGATCACCACACAGTCGGTGGGAAAGGTACTAAAGTATTTTCGGTGTTGCAATGAACACGCTGCCGGTGTCGGCGCACATTCGCTTTTCTTGCGAACTGACCCATCTCCCTCACAACAACTTGAGTCGCCCGCGCTGACGTCACTAAGCAGCCTCGCGCCAATCGAGTGATAGGCGCCAAACCTTTCATCCGGATGTTTTAGCTAGGCTTCCAGAGCTGCGACTGCAGAAAAACTACGCTCACGCGAGGGGTGTGCAAGTAGCAGCGACTGGGAGTGGTGGCCCGGCGATGTGGGATATCGGGGGCACTTACTATAATGTCAATTAGCTCTATAGATTTGAAATCAATCATGATATCACACCAGCATTGTTTTTGATGTGTCTTATTCAGAGTCATGTTTTTTTTTGCGCTAAACATATAATACTAGAAACTGATGGGATCTGGTTTTATGGCTCTCGGCCGAATAAAGAGGCAACAGAAAGCAAGCTTCACCTCAATACTCAGAAGCGCAGCTTGCCTGCAGCTGCCAGCAGAGGAGAGACGGTAGAGCGCGCAGTATGAAACCGGCAAGTGTTACCGAAATAAAAAGGCAGGTCAAGTCACGCACACTCACCTTGCTTTCATTTGGGTACTTGTCTTGCACGCAGATAGTTCGTCGCCGAGGAAACTTGCATCGCCCTTCCCGCTGTACCATCTCCCGATGCTCAAGGTACCGCTGGGTTTCGCGATTGACGTACCTGCGCGGCCCGCACAGTCCAACGGCGAAGCAGGTAAACAAGACAAGCATCGCCGTCCATGCGACTCCCCTCGCCACGCGGTCGTGTTCGCTGGTCATCGCTATTGTCGTGACGAGTGCTGCTGGTGAGCGACGCCCGGCGAATGGTGAACGACCGGGCTCCCATGATGGTTTTATGCCGTCGAGTTATACCTCGATTGCACCCGCCACGCGCACGGCTGCTTTTGCCGCCGGGGCAGCTGCGGCGCGCGGCGTCTTCCGCCGCGTGATGTCAGGAAATCGGGGAAGCACCAATGAGAGAGGCGTCTCCTTGCGTCATGTCCTGGAAACCAGTTTTCCAGGACGGCCCGCCGCCCTCCCTCCCTTTTGCCCTCTCAGCGACAGGTCCGCTCAGGGATGCGGCCGGCGGGCGTCCCCATCTTCCGCTGCGCGCACCGGATCGCCACGCGATGACTTTGTTGTACTTTGTTGTGACGCCGCCGTGTATCTCGCTGAGCGCGAGATACTCGCAGTGGCCTCGCCTTTCTCGTACGTCAATGATACCGTTGAGCTCGAGAAGCGACCGAGGCGTCCCAGTGGATAACGCGTCCTGAGGCCTAAATGAAGGTGATGGTTCGACTAAACTAGTGGACACTCTGGGATAGAGTCTTTCATCAGCCTGCCTCTCATTGTCGACGTTTTGCTCTGAAAACCTTGAATTCCACGTATAATCTTTACATCTAGGAAGTCACTGCTACATATGGAGCGGGCGATCGCACATTTCACAGTTACTATCATTGCTTTTCTTTTGCGATCCTGTTCAGCACACCTTTCTTACTATTCGTGTTATAAGGCAGATTTTGGCATGTCATTAATTAATTTTTAAATGATGTGGTCATTTAACATTTTGTGTACAATTGAATAATGATATCATTTTCATTTACTTCTGACATATATTATACTAGTATTTTAACCCATCAGAGAGTGATAAAACAAAACGCACATTATTTGAACTACACATCAATAGAAAATCAAAGCATATCCACGGAGTGAATGATGATGAGTGGGGCGAAGCGTCCGTTAGCCCGTCCGTGCTTCCGTCCGTCCGAGCAATCATTTGTGCGTCCATCCACGCATCCGTCCGTTTGTTCATGCGTCCGTCCATGAGTCCGTACATCCATCTGTCCGTCTGTCTGCTCGTGCGTCAATACGTCCGCACGTCTATCCATCCATCCGTCCGTCTGCTAGTTTGTCTGTCCGTCTGTCCATGCGTCCATCTAGTGAACACTCCAAGTACTGCCATCTCCCATCTCGCATCACCTGTGGCACATGCCCGCTCTAGAGCGGGTATGTGTTACCGGTGGTTACGTACTACTACATACTTACAAGGAATCGACAGACCCATGCCTTAAGGAGCTTCGCCCCTAAAAGAAGAAATAGATTATTTACCTTACAAAGTCAAGAGAAATGGTGCATTCACGAAGAAGCCAAAGTGAGGAGCATAATAAAAAATTGATTGGGAGAACGGCTGTGTAGCTGTGTTTCGGCAGTATAAAGAAGCGAATTGAACAAATTGAGCACCCAATTTTATTGCGCCACCTGCAGATGACCCCCAACGAATTGCGGGCCAAAGCCACCCTTTTTGTTAATGTTAAAGGTGATACGGGCCACCGTAAGAGTGATGTGCATGAACTGAAGAATGTTTACTTTTTCCCTCCCATGATGCATGACACACCAAGTGAAACAGCGTCGAAAATGAACGCATGCGAAGTGTCAAAAGACTGAGTTCATTCTCGAGATATTCAGGCCATGAAATTCTCCATGAAGCATGCAACGGAAACACAGACAAGCTTGACACTTCATTGAGTTGCACTCCACAAATGCACACCCTTCGTATCAATCAGAGTCGTTTCCTCCACCGGCTTCATTTACACAGTGAACTATTGCATTACGCACACAGATGTGCGCTTGGAACACTGAAGTTAGTGCCATTTTATAGTGCTTAATTACTATGCTGTTTTAGCGACTCCCGTTTCCTTAAACGAACCCATGTCACTAAGTAACAAGTATTTTAACGTTTTGTATGGCTTGCGAAGGTATGTGTGTGATTGAGTGCTACCGATCCCGTTACCGTCTGAAGACCTCCATGGCCAAATGTTTCGACAGAGATTCTGCAAAATTGTTGGTGTGTGAGCAAGTCATCGGAGGTGCTCTTCATGTGATTTTCGAAATGCGCTGACTAACCTCGTAAGCTGGAGTGACTATGCTGGCCTTCTGCAGGAAAAAAAAATAAAAATATAAGTGGTGTATGTATGTCTGCAAGTATTCATATTGTGTGTTTTTTTCTACGTCAGAAAAGCATAAGCTGCTTGAAAATCATCATCATCATCATCATGACTTTGCCCGCTGAAGGGCAAAGGCTTCTCCCATGATCCGCCAATTAACCCGGTCTTGTGCTTTGTGCTGCCACGTTATACCTGCGAAGTTTTAAAACTCATCGGCCCACCTAACTTTCTGTCTGCCCTTCGTGCGTTTGCCTTCTCCAGGAATCCAGTCAGTTACCCATTTAGGGTAACTAAATAGAGTAACCGCTTGTCATTAGGACCAGCGGTTATCTTACCTACGTGCTACATGCCTAGACCATGTCCATTTCTTCTTGATTTCAGCTGTGATATCCTAAACGCCGGTTCGTTCCCTGGCCCACCGTGCTCTTTTCTTGTTTCTTAAGGTTAAACCTATAATTTTCCTTTCCGTCTCTCGCTACATCACCCTAAATTTCAGCTGCACCCTCTTTGTAAGCCACTAGTTTTATGCTCCGTAGGTAAGTACCAGCAAGATGCAGCTGTTATGTATCTTCCTCTTGGGTGTTTCTGGTAGATTACCATTCATAATTTGAGAATGCCTACCAAATGTAATCCACCGCATTCTTATTCTTCTAGTAAATTCACTCCAATTGTACAGTTCCGCGGTTACTACCTGTCCTAAGTACAGCTGTGTTGAAAGTGATAGACACAAAAATGTTCAAACTATTTGAATATAGCCTTTCGGAGGACTCCCAGTATCGACCTTGTTGGCGCTAGGCTTCTAAAAAAGCAGTATATACGTTTCTGGCAGCAAACATGTGGTCAGCTGAGTACCGCGGCGTGGTAACGTTATTGACATCCCAAAATCTGGGCATATCCCAGAATGTGTGCAGGGATTACATTTCAGAGGGCCAGCGTAGGCGCTAGCTGGTTGTACATAGTTGACACTTGTGACACACTGACTGCACACAAAGAAAGACACACAAAAGGCACAGGTGAGCGTGACATATAAACTTTGTTTTTGTACAGGGTGAACGGAAGAAAGAAGGAAAGCATGAGCCTGTGCATTGGCCACAGCAGGAGAGCAACCATCTGCGTAAAATCGTCATTTCTGGCCTTGTCAACAGTCTGGCCCTGCACATATATGTCATGTTTCCATCAAATAGGCAGTTGTTAGTTCATGCTCGTGCGAGTGCAACCTGTACCTTTCGTGTGTCGTTTTTCGTGTGCAATCAGCACGTCGCAAGTGTCAAATGCGTACATCTTGGAGACTGGAAAGCTCCAGGCCATGTGTCACCTTTTTGAGCTGCCAGTTTTGCCCTACTCGATAGGAAGACCTGCACTATGTGCCGGGCTAAAAATGATTTTTAGACGTCACCTGCAATGTTTGGTTATTCATTACAACTGCTTGTAAGGTATACAAATCTGCATTCATGAATCGCATAACACGGTCTGAATTCTTAGTTAAGGTGGAAGGATGTACTTCCTTATTCTGTGTAACTGATTGGATGCCGTACAGGCTAAAGTAAATATGACAATAAAAAAGTGCAGCATCGGGTTCCCATGATTAATATATCATACTTCTCTACTATTGAAGCGACGCACGTAAAGAAAAGCTCAGATCAAATCGACTACAAAATTTTCGTATACGTGTGAACAGTTCAAGCAGATCAAGTTCATGTGGTATACCATGTGGTATACATTCCACGAGTGTCTTTCAGCAAATGAAACTTCCTTCAATTGGCAAGAGTGCTGCATGTATTGCAAGCTGCAATGCAAATATACCTTGCTTCCTTCCCAATCACTATCGTCATTTGGGAGAACTGTACGTTCCATTTTATTTATTGATGCCTAGTGTTGGCTGCGACATGTCATGTCGTGTTCAAGTTGGTATTCATTCATCTTACTTACTTTTCTTGTGCCCTTTATTTTTTGTATCTAAAATAAACACGCTTGGATGCCCCGCCCTTTTCAAAAACGAAAGGAGAAGAAACGCAGAATTCGCAATGCGGGACGGTGAGAACACGCGACTGCAGTTAGTGTTAGCCCGGCCACTTAAACCTGCTAGTTTCTTATAATAACGTTTATTCCTCCTCCTCCTATATACATACACTGCTGGCCCTCCTCGAGCCCATGCAAGAGTAAAACACAACAATCTAATCAAAGAACATATAGTAATACATTGAGTAGGTCGGTATAAATGAAAGAATACATAAATAATAAGTACACAACTGGAAAGTCATATCAATGCTTAGTAGAAATATATTTATGGTATACAACAGAACTGCACTCAAGTAAAATATTTTCAATATACGTAAGTCACTTAAATCACACTTGAATTACGGTATTTTTATTATACATCACTTGTTCAAAAGCAAAACCTATACTTTCAATGTGCTTCGTAAATAAAGCCACCGAGGCAGCATTCACTGCTTCTGCAGATAGCGCATTTCAATGAGAAATTGCATGAGGAAAGAAAGCGAAGTAGTGAACATCAGTGTAGCTAAGTGACCTAAAACTTTTATTGTGATTCGTCCTGGTTGAAAGTTTTAAAGGCTGCTGTAGGTAACGCTCCCGAGATAATTTGAAGTCCCCATGGTAAAGTTTGTAGATGAATTTCAATCTGGATACTGCACTGCTCAAGCTTTGGTCAGCTTAGCTTATTACGTTGATTTGTTACAATAAAGTATTAGGAGTAAGCGGAATATATAAAACGCAAAGCTAGATTTTAGACTTTCTCAATCAAAAAGTAAAATATTTTGCCAAGGGCTTCAAGTAACGTCGGCATACAACGATTTCGGTTGCGTAAGTGCTTTGTACGCTTTCAGTTTTACTGTGCGAGGAGTACTACGTAGTTTTCTCTTCCAAAATGGCAATTTCTGCTGTGCACTCGAAGACACGTTTTCAACAT